TTGTTACAAGATTGTTATATATGTTAGCCTCATTACTATTATCATGAGATTTTGTGGGAATTTTCACATTGCCATTCCCTGTTCATATTCCTCAATTGCTCTAGCATTATGTAATGCATCTGATATCCTCGCAGGAAGAGGAGGCCCTGTTGAAAGCCAGAGGAGTGATTGATGACTACAGCGACGACCAGGGTTTGGTCCTGAATGATGCCTCCGACCTCCTCCCTTCTGCCCCCCAAGCTAGGCCGCGGTCCTTGCCATCTAGTGCTGACCCCTGGGCAGGTGACCCTTCTGCTGGAACCCCCAGCAGGGACTCAGGTGCCTCTCGAGACCCCCTGAAAGAGTTTCGCAGACAGAAAGAGGAGGACCAGAGGAAGCAGGGTGTGGAGGCAGGCAAAGGCAAAGCTGACCAGACTCCTCAAGGAAAGCAGCCAGCCAAGGTGCAAGCCACCCCCCCCAGTGCTCCAGCCAAACAGGTCCAGAATCCACAGCCTAAGCCAGCCACCTTGCAGACCCCTGCCCCTCAGGGACCTAAGAAACCTCAACCAGCAGCAGCTAGACCAGCTGCAGCCACACCAGGCCAGCAGGGAGCAGCCTCTGAGAGCAAGGGAAAGCCAGTGGAGAGCCAGACAAAGCCCTCCGATCCCATCAAGAAGCCTGAGGCCCCTGTGCCACCAGAGGACAGGAAGCTTGAGCTGGAAGGAGCCCCCAAGCAGCGCAAGACAAACCCCCTTGACCGCGTCGTGGCCAAGCTTAGTGGGAGAACAGAGCCCAAGGAACCTCCTCAAAGCACAGCTCAAGCCAGTTGTGAAGGGAAGGCAACACCAAAGCCATCAGAAATGACACCGAAGAACCTGACTGTGAACCTGAATAAACTGATGGAGAAGGAAGAAACAGAAGTAAGGGATTCTTCATACACCATTTTCCTTAGAATATTTTGTCTTTGCAGAAAGTTCTCTTGTATCTCTAAGGTTCTTTTAACAGTTTTGTATCTTTTATCATTACCATTACAGGAGGAGGAGAGTCAGACTGCTGCCAGTAAAGAAGAGCAGAAAGTGAAGATAGATTATGCTGAAATACAGAGGAAAATTCAAGTAGGTCCCTTTACAACGATCCATATACATTAATATATTAGATAGTAGGCGAGGTGGTCATACCTTTGCCTGATTATGTGAAACATGTCCATACATACTTTATACATGGAGTAGAATACAATAGAGCTGAAATATGAATAATTTGTCATGCATGATAGATTGATCCATAATACCTGGCATTTTTGGTATAGAGAGTCTTTTGTTTTGTCAGGTCTGATGATTATTATTTCTGTTCTTTCATATATTCAAAAGCATGTCCCTAGGGAAGTTCATAATTTCCTTTAAAACAAACTTTATTTTTATGTGCAGTTTACAAAACTATTCGGTCCCCTGCTGTTCAAGAGTGTTCAGTTGCCTGTTGGTCAGTACCATTCAACACTCTGCTGTTCACTGTCATTCAGTCCTTTGCTGTTGAAAACCATAACTCTAGCTATTACTCCCAATCAATTCCTAACCCCCACAGGAAGAGGCGTCTAAGTTCCGTGTGGCCGAGGAACAGAAGATCCGTAAGCAACAAGAAGAGGATTTGAAAGCACTTAGGGAAAGACTCAATAAGGAATTCAGAGATATGGAAGAAAAGATAAGGTTAGTTGAATTGTTTTTAAGGATTTAATTTATTTATTCATTTATTTTTTGTGGTTGTTTATGTTATTATTATGTTTGGTGGTTTTGGGGGGATTTTTGGCTTCAAGGGATTTCATATTCCTTTTTTGATTGTTTAATTTCTTCATTGCTTTATCTTTTTTTACATTTTATTGATTCACTTGTTTGTTTATTTGAATTTCAAGGGTTTCATTTTCATTATCTTTTGTTGTAATATTTCCATTTTCAATAAATTTTCTTTTAACATTCAGGTTTCTTTTAAAAATTTTCCTTTAAATTTTGTGGTCTTTCTTTATTAATTCATTATATTCAGATTCTAACTTCAAAAGTTTATTTTCCAGGATTTTCCATTTCTCTATTTCTGATTTTCTTTTTTTTTTGTTAAATTTTCTTTTGTAAATTGCAAAAGTTTGCTTGTTAGAATCTTCTTTTTATATGCCCAATTTCTCCATCATAGTCTTTGTTAAATAATTAAAATAGTTTTGCATTTCTAAAACACAAGCATTCCAAAGAAATTGATGAAGAAAAATATATATAGATAAACTGATCCACTGAAAAACAGTAGATAAATAGATTATTACATATACAAACACTAAAACAAAAAAGCAAATCCATTTAACAAAAGTGAAAAAGGGAAACACAAGAAATCAATCAATCCAGAGAAGATAAAGCGAGAAGGATTTTAAAAAGCCGAAATAGACAGTATAAAATCATTTCTGATCAATAAACACGTCTCTAACAGGAAGGAAAATGCAGCCACACTCCAGAAATATCAGGAGGAGGAGAAGAAGAAAACTCAGGCGGCACAAAAGCAGCTTGAGACGCAGCTTCAGGCGGACCACAGGAAGAAGACGGAGGAGATAAAAGCAAGGCTGATAAAGGAGGCTGAGGAGGAGAGGGAGAGAACGGCCAGCGCCTTGAGGAAGGAGAACGAGAAGGAGGCGGAGAAGATTAAGTTGGAGTACGTCCAAGAAATGCAGAAGAAGAAGGAGGAAATGCAGCTGGAGCATGAAGAGGTGGGGACAATGTGTTCTTTCGTTCTTTCATTTTGTGTTTTCTTGTTTTGTTCGATTTATCTTTTCTTTTGATTTTGATTTTTTCCTTCCTTTCTTTCGTTTTGTTTTTCTTTGTCTTTTTCTTTCTTTCTTAGTTGTTATTTTCTTCTCTGGTTCTATTTTTTAAACTTTGTCTTTCCTCCTTTTTTTGGCTTCATTTTTACTTCTGTGGCTCTTTTATTTTTCCCCCTTCTCTTTCGTCATTTTTCATTTTGTTTTCTGTATTTACAAATTGAGAAACTTCTACATGATTACCCATGAGAATGACTTTTTTTTTCCTTACTACTTGATATAAACACAACAAAAACATTTTAAGGCCCTCAAGGAATCTTCTCATTCCTTACACTGAAAAGAAAAAATAACTAAAAACTCCCTCAAAAAGTAGACTAATTGCACTTGTAATCATATGATATGTAAGATGCATTTGATTCGTATACTACATCTGATTCATTTCGTATATTTATATGGTAAATTGCATTCACTTAACTAAATGTGGGATATTGATTAATAGCATTCATTTGCTTCCTTTGACTTATGAATTCCAGGAGATGCAAGAGCTGGAGGATGAGCTGAAGGCACTGTATCAGGAGCAGAAGGAGGTTGCGCAAGCAGAAGTCGGGGCAACAAAAGCTGCTATTGCTGCCAGGTATATTACTCTCCCTTGTTTTAACTGATGACATTCAAGAATCTCAGCTTATCAGTTATTGGTACTAATGACCTGATACCCACAAAGGAACAGTAATGAGGCAGCAGCAGTGGCAGACCTAGAGCGCAGCCTGACAGAAGTGTTGCGAGAACGGCAGGCTGATGTGAAGAGGGAGCACCACAAGCAGCTGACGGTCCTCCGAGACGAGCTGGAGGAGGAGCTTGAGATGGCAGCGAGACAAGCTAAAGAGAAGGTCTTTTAGGCTTTAGGCTTTGAATCTGTCCTTGAATAGGAGGAATGTGTGTGCGTGTGTGTGTGTGTGTGTGTGTGTGTGTGTGTGTGTGTGTGTGTGTGTGTGTGTGTGTGTGTGTGTATTGTTTTATGTATTTCTAAAGAAAGATGATATATGTGGATTCAAGGTTTCGTTTACAGTAATGCATCTTTTTTCTAGATCCAGGTGTTCTGGACCCTAATTATCATAAAATTTTCCCCTCAGGAAAATGCTGAGAAAAAGGCCCATGCAGCTAGACTAGCTCGTCTCAAGGAAGAGCATGAAGCAGAGGTTCGTCAAAGTGAAGAAACTCATGAGCAAGATATAAAGGATTTAGAGACTCAGCATGAAGAGGACCTGGCCAAGCTCAAGGCTGACTTCAAGGCAGAACTTACCCTTCAGAAGACAGAACTGGAGAACAAGCTGACAGAGTTTAGAATAGAGTATGAGCAGAGGATGAGCAGTATGGAGAATGGAGAAGAGAATGTCTGTGAGGAAGAGATCGAGAGGGAAGACTTTGTGAATGAGGATTCCTTACAGTCCCAGAGCAATGTCAGAGAGAGAAAGGCTGGTAACGTCACTAGTGTAAAGGCAGGGAGGTTAAAGGATGAAGAAAAGAAGTATGACCAGATCCTGAAAGAGTTACGAGACAGGAGGATGAGTCTGGAGGAGGACCTGGAAGAGTTGAAAGCACAGGAAAGCAAAGTGAAGGAACTTAAGAAGCAAAAGCAAGTGGTAGACCCTTCCAGTTGCTGTGAGGCGGGTCCTTGTCTCCATGAATCCAAGTACAAGAAAATGAAAGCCAGATACTCCTCTTTAGTCAGTCGCATCAAGTCTGAAAAAGCCAAGAAGTCTCGAAAGATGGCCGCAGCTCAGGAGTTGAGTAGCCTCGACATGCACTCGCTTTCAGGGGACAGAAATAGTACAGAAAGCCAAGTGAATGTGTCTGATGGGGGGCAGCAGTCTGACATGACATCCAGCCTGCTGTCGAGCCCCAAGCCCTCTCCACATCACATCAAAAGCACAAGTGAGGCCAGTGAGGATGAGGAGTTGCAGCTGGCTATGCAGGTCATGGGGAAATACAGCAGAATTTCAGATTACAGCCTTGCTCCTTCCTCGCACTTGTCCACTGTAAATGGTAGCTTGAAGCATACAATGACCAAACCAATGGTAAGCACCCCTAAAAAAGCTTGGCTGGAAGATGACTTACTGGCACATGGCCGGAAAGTGCTGAGCAAAACAGAGAAGTTTCTAAGAGCAAATCAACTCAGAGACCACACAGGAAACAGAGACATAAAAGCAGAAGACATCCAGAGGGAGATTCTGCGCCAGAATGCAGACTTTGAAACACTTCCTTCGAGAAAGGTATTGTGCTTATCTGTTATCATCGGGTTTTCATCTTTAAGCAGTGTTTTGTAGCCAGCTTATGTTTTAGCTGATTGAGTTGTGCATTTAAGTTCATAACAGAAAAAGGCTTAAAGAAACATAATACTTTGCAAAGGTGTCATTTTGAATAAGAATTTCATATGGCAAGGAAGTAATTAATAGTTTCACACTGAAGCACTCATTAAATGTTTCACTTCAGATTTTTTTTTTTTCTTTAATGTTAGCTAATATATTCCTTTGTTTGATTAATATTATTATTCATACTTATGTCAGCTATTGTTAAAATATATTGATGTGAAAATATACTGATTCATTACTCTATAGCTAGAAAGATAAGCCAGGAAGGTTATATAATTTTTTAAATTATTATAATGAATATTCTTAACAATAGCAGAACAATTCATATCACTTATATCCACTTCTGCTTATTATTAGAAGTCTGTAATTTTCAAATATATTTCTTGTGCATTAACATGCTTATAATGGTAATTCTTGTTATAGAACTGATAAGAAAAAAAATTATGGAAGATTTTAATGAAGCATTTAGACTAAGAAACAAGATGGTTGATGGTTGTTAAAGAACTTTTGCATTAATTCTTTTTATGACCTCTCTCCTGCTCTTTATGCTTTTGTTTTGAGTAAAACTAACTGACAGTAATATTTGCTTGTGAACTTGTGGATGAAATATTGCTGTTAAAATTTTGTAGAATGTGAAAAGTATATGTTGTAAGTTCAGCAAATACTGGCATATACTATATGTAAAAGAAAAAATCAGTGTTAGAAACCCCCAAATGTTAAGCAGAGCTATGCAAGCCAAAAAGAAGTAAAATAAAACTTTAGAGGAAAATACTAAACTCCCTTTTCATCTTTTGTTCCATTGCATTTCAACCAAATTGTTATATTCCTCACACAGATTCCCTCTCGCCGTCTGTCCTTAGCTCATGGAGGGGGGGGAGGGGGAGGAGGAAGAGGAAGAGGAGGAGGAGGAAGAGGAAGAGGAGGAGGAGGAGGATCTTTAACCTCTGACACAGAATCTGACGAACCAACACAGGAAGTCCCATCGGGGTCTTCAGACTTCGGTCTTGACCAGATATTAGGTAGGGCCAGGAATACTGCAAATTTAAATCATTATTACTATTAAGATCGCCGTTACTTGTCACTCATTTACTTCTTTTTTTCTTTTTTTTTTGGGGGGGGAGGGGGTCCAGACCTATTTAATTTCTTCCTCTAAAACAGAATACAGTACATAAGATAAACAGGTTCAGTTTACATGTATATCTGTATATCTCTCTCTCTCTCTCTCTATTTCTCTGTCTACACACACACACACACACACACACACACACACACACACACACACACACACACACACACACACACACACACACACACACACACACACACACATAAATATGAATATTTATATATGTATATATTTATATATGTATATATTTATATATGTATATATTTATATATGTATATATTTATATATGTATATATTTATATATGTATATATTTATATATGTATATATTTATATATGTATATATTTATATATGTATATATTTATATATGTATATATCTATATATGTATATATTTATATATGTATATATTTATATATGTATATATTTAAATATGTATATATTTATATATGTATGTATAAATATATGTATAAATATATGTATATGTATATGTATATGTATATGTATATGTATATGTATATGTATATGTATATGTATATGTATATGTATATGTATATGTATATGTATATGTATATGTATATGTATATGTATATATATATATATATATATATATATATATATATATATATATATATATATATATATATATATATATATGTATATATATATGTATGTATGTATGTATATATGTATGTATGCATGTATGTATGCATATATGTATGTATGTATATATATGTGCATATATGTATGTATATATGTATGTATATATGTATGTATGTATATGTATGTATGTATATATGTATGTATATATATATATGTATGTATATATATATATATATATATATATATATATATATATATATATATATATATATATATACATATATATATACACACACACACACACACACATATGTATATACATATATGTATATGTGTGCGTGTGTGTATTATATATATATGTATATGCACATATCTTCTTCTAAGTGCTTTGTCCTTCCAGGACGTTGGTGATCATGGTCTTCCAGGTCTTTCTCTCCTCTGATAGCAATAAGAATTCACAATCACTTCCTTGTTCAAGCTGGTAATGAACTACTGTCTTAGTCTCCCCCTGCTCCTCTTTCCTTCAATCTTTCATGTTAGCTCCGGGTTTTCCATTCCTTCACATCTCAACACATGCCCAAGAAACTGCATTTGTCTTTTCCTGATTACCTTCATCAACTTTCTCTTTACTCCTGATCTTT